GAAGACATGTTGATTTAGATCAGCCTCAATAGCAGCATCTCTCTTGTCTTTCGCACTCACCATAGTTGTTATTACTCCTGCCCGTGGTGCTGGTTGGCTCATTAAGTCACCCTGCTGTGCTCATTGGTCGTTCTTTTATTTTAACTGAGAAACCGCTGTTTCATGGCACGGTGCCAGACAAATTAGTCAAACCACCCAGTGCAGTGGATAGATTCAAAAATCTGGACCCAGGCAAAAAGAGGAGCACCGTCGTGGCATTTTGGAAAACAAACAACATGGCTGCAGCTGATGCCAAACCTTCTGTTTAAGTTCCAATTGTGATGGCAAAAACTGCAACACTACTTCACAGACTGATGCAGCACCATCACTGCTCATCTCTACATGCTGTAGTCTGATTACATTTGTTCGTTGCTCAGCGCTACGTCACGTTGTGTTGCTCTGATTGGTTGTAGATCTATCCATTTGTGTCCAGAGGCATTTTGATCTACCGTCATTGATAACCCAGCTTGGAAATCTAAAATGAAGTGAGAGGTTTTAGAATGACTTGCATTAGTGATTTGGTCTGGCGATGGCAAGCTATGAAGATTCAGGATTTTGAAGAGAGGTTCAGTGTTTGGATGTGAAACCTGCAGAGGTTCTTTAAGAGAGTCCAATGATTCTTGAAGTGCAGTGGTTCTCAACCTTTTTTGCATCACACATTAGATCGTGGACCTTCATTTGGTAAGATTTTGCTCCAGGCACCTCCATCTGAAAGGATTTTGTTTCTTAAATATGATTAGAGAAACTACAGTTGAGAAAATAACTGAAGGAAGTGAAATTTGTGATCCGAGTAGTCCCTCTTATGAGTCTGACTCACACTGGGTTCACTTCTGCAGTGAATCAAACAGTGAAAATAAACCATTCCCCATTTTTCTATGAAACTCCTGGATCCCCCCTAAACGGACCCCTGGTTGAGAACCACTGCTTTAAGAAGTTCTTTGGATTCGTTCAGAGACTTCACTGGTTCTTGAGGGGGTTTCACAGGTCCTTTAGGGAGCTGCATGATGTGTCCAGGCCTCCACAGAAAGGCTCTAGGGTTGTTGATTGGGTTTGATATTAAAGGAACGATACTGGGGGAGGTTCCAGGGGTACCTAATGAGGTTTTAATGTTGGTTGTGGGTCGCAACAGTTCATCAGATGAGGAGGTTTCAGTATAATAATAATAATAAAGGAAGTTATTGAGGTGAGTTCAGAGTTCTTTGGAAAGCTCCAGAAGGGTTCTTACAGTACCGCTGGAGGTGACAGGAACACCTGAGGGGGTTATAGGGTCAATGAGGGGCTGCAGGACTCTTCATTGGGTTTTGCAGGTCCTTGTGAATTATTTTTTGGGGGGGGGGGGCAGGTTGAAATGGTTTTTATGGAGCGTCCTTTGATTCTTCGGTCAGTCCAAAAAATGTTCTGTGGGTTCTTGTGGTGGTTCTGTTGGTTCCTGATTTGTTATGAATGTTATGTGAGGCTGAACGTGGCTCATGTGAGCCGTGTGAAGTGTGATCCATGTTTACATCCTCTGGTCTGATAATTACTGTCTGACAGTCTGTGACACACCCAGCTGTCTGCTGCGCTGACTCTGTTCGACTGTTCCACATTTTATTATCCAGAGCAGCAGAGAACATGTGAGAACAACGTAAGAGCAGCTGAATCTGTGAGCACTGAGACATGAAACATGATCATGTGACTGTTCACCAGGTGTAGGTCATGGTCATCGGGAGGAAGTGAGCTGAACTCTGATTTATTTCTTACAGATCTAATCAGCTGCTCTGAGCGACATGATGCTCGATGAAGGTTTCACTGGAAATAAACTGTGACAGAAGATTACATGTTTATTCCTCCAAAGACAAACTGGTTTTAAAAATAAAGAGAAACAAAGACTAAACTGAAAAATAAAAACGTCTGGATGATGATCACTGAAATAGAAACAGAGGTATGAAGCTTTAAACACTTCAGATCAACTGTCTCCACAGCTTCACTTCAACTCATTTCAACTGCTATTATCTCTTCAACTGACACTTTCACTGCCTTCACCTCTGTAGCCCTTCCTACAGGACAAAACCCCATTAACATCGGCTAACACCTGGCCTTACTATTCAATGTCAAGTTTAAAAATCGGCATTCACTCCCAGGAAAAAAGACTCTGCATTAGTTACAGGTATTTATCAGCTACAGATCCGATGGCCCCAATCAGCAGTGATGGAAATATGATACCTGGAAGGACGCTGACGTGCTTACTACTGCTTACTAAACTGTTTTCTGGCCTGTTCGTGATGTTGAGCGTGACACACCAGTAAAAAAAATAAAGGCAGCCTCATCAACTGCAGAGCCATGTACACAACTCTTATCTACTGGCAATAAGAAAGCAGTCCATCGCCTATTTTCAGCTGCTTTTCCCATGTTTAAAAAAAACACATGCACTAATTTGGGTGGAAAAGAGTTTAACAGGAAGTATTTCAAAATCTTATTAAACTAAACAAAATACTCTCGTTATTAACACCCAAATCACTTGAAGTGTTTTCACTGCTTAAATTTCAACTGCCACTTCAGATGACATCTTTAAGTGGCACTACATGTCTTTCAGCACTTCTGTTATAACCACAGTTTCAATGTCCATCAGTATTTTGACTGCCACTTCAAACTCGACTTCAACTTCCTTCAGTATTTACACAATTTCAGATGTTTGAACCACAGACTTTTTGTTCTAAGCACACAGAAAAACTTTCTTCAGGAGATTTAAACTTCTCAATTTTATTTGATGTTATATAGCTTAACTATTGCTGCAATCAAAAGCACCTCATACACTGCCTCTTCGGGGCAGAGTTGTCTCGCCTCTGAGCCAGGGATGGAGGTAATAACAGCGCCGAAATGATGTCTGAATAAACAGGACAGCAAGCAGGACGGGATCATGGGTGGCATGGGTGTGACATTTTGACAATGTGTTATGTATGTGACCCACCGCCTGGAGATTTAAAAAGCAGCTGTTAGCAGTTAGCAGCTAACTCAAAGACGAAGAACAGCAACCAAAAATGTATGTAAAAAGGTAAAATAATTAGGTCCAGGAGCTCCATTTCAAGCAGAGGGCAAGACCAGCCGTCATGTAACAGAGACCATAAATGATTGTTATTGCCATTTTTACTGTTTATAAAGCACTGTCGACATGTGTGTTATATGTCACACTAGAGGCTGACGCTGTTGTGTTAAATGTCAAGTCCGTCCTGCCTCTTTTGATTCCTCGATGCAGGGGGATGCTGTCTAAAACCTCACACTGGAGCAGCATGATGCTGCCTTTGTTTGGTTCTCTTGTAATGGAAAGGCAGCGTAAAGGAGGGACTTTGTAGCGGCCCTGTAGCGCGATCTTTGAGTAAAAAGGACTATAGACGGTAGAGCTTAGATTCTCTGGCCGAGCCCAAGCCCGGCCCGACCCAGCCCGCGGGCCCAAGCCGGTCAGATATGAGAGAGAGAGAGAGAGAGAGAGAGAGAAAGAGAGTGTCAGATATGAGAAAGAAATGGCTACAGGTTGGGGGTTGCAATTCACACATACAGAAAGAGAGAGAGAGGGGGGTGGTAGTGATAAGTGGGAGGGACAGCGGCTTTCCGTGCCTCCAAAAAATATGCCCTATTCATTCAGTGTTTACCCAACACGCTCAATACATGGACATGCAATGGCAAATTGTCATTAACTTATTACGTTATAAAAAACAATGAAAATATGGACTTACCCATGTTTAAAATGACAGTCAAGCGCCTGCGAGTACACTCGCAGGACTTCCACGGCACTAACGCGCTCGGTGTGTCCTTAGCGTTAATTATAACAGCCAACTTAGTGAAAAATGTGGGGTTTAAATCGGGCCCATAATTACAGTTAATTGGACGGGCCAGTCCCGGACATAACTTGCACGGGCTCAGGCCGGGTCGGGATGAAATTTTTGGGCCCGATCTAAGCTCTAATAGACGGTAGAAATAATGGACGCAGTTACTGTGACATCACCCATCGGTTTGTGGACTCTTGTTTTTAAGTTTCGAGTTAAAAACATTTCTAATGAGGTGACTCCGTCTCACCTGTTTATAAATCAACTTGTTTGCGATTTAGTCCCAAACAGACCCAATCGCCAGAATAAAAGTTGACACTGTACGTTTCTGCCATAGACTGTATAAAACAATGGACTGTGATGTCACCCATTGGTTTGTGGACTGCTGCTCTGAATCCTGGAGTTTGGCATTTCGGTAGTTGCCATGTTGTTTTTTTGGAGTTAGAGGTGACTGTAGTGACGCCTCGCAGACAGCCTGTCACTCAAAGCAGCCACGTCCTTAATTATGCCTAACTAAAGCCTTAATAAAATGTAAATAGATATGTTATATAAAAATTCACCTGTGAACACCTCTGTTGTCATTAATGTTGAAATTGGCTATCGAGACCAAATCTGTTTTTTTGTACCAGGCTGTAAACATGTTAATTTCTGCTGTAAAGTTGGACATTTTAACATGGAGGTCTGTGGGGACTGACTCATTCCCGGAGCCAGCCTCAAGTGGCCGTTAGAAGAACTGCAGAGGTCGCCAGTTGGTTGCAACTAATGACTCATTTTATGCTAATTATTTTCTTGATCAATCATTAATCTGTGAAATGTCAGAACTCCACACAGCCCAAAGTGACGTCTTCACAATGATTTAAAAGGTATTCACTTTACTGAGATATATATGACAAAGATCTGAGACATTTAAGAAGCTGGAACCAGAAAATATTTGATTACTTTGCTGAAAAAAAAAAGGACTGAAACGGACAACAGATGATTAAAATAGCTGTCTAATTTCCTGGTGATGGACTAATCAGTTAATCGACTGATTGATGCAGAATTAAATGACTGAAGTTTTATCCAACTGAAGCTCAAATTCAGTAGAAAATGTGAATGAATGCTTGTTTCCATCCATTAATGTTCAAGCATCACAAACAAGTGACGCAGTCTGAGTCCTACCTGCAGCCGTCCGTCCAGCGTCCTCTGGATGGTGACACACTTGCTGGGATGGACGCCGTTGGTGGTGACGGCGGTGATGAGCGAGTCCAGCTCATCCTTCTTCTCCTTCAGCTTCTTCACCAGACTCTCAATGGCCCGCTTGGCGAAGCCCTCGTTCTCGGCTCCCTGTCTGTGGCACATCAGGCTGTGGACAATGCTGAGGCAGGCGTCTGCGCTGCTGGGGGTCGGGCCGACCGACATGGTCACTGAATCTGCATTAAATTAGATAATCCAGAATTGTTTGAATTTTAGGTAAAATGTGACCAAAATTAGATTTTTTCCAACTTTATAATATTTGCTGATTTTCTTCTTCTACGATGATAAACTGAATCTATGTTGGTTGGGCAAAACAAGACGTCACGTTGAACTCTGAGAATTAGTGACACGCTTACAGAATCTAAATCTAACAGACCAAATGATTAATGTAGTCATCATGAAAATCATCATGAAATCAATCAATAATGAAAATAATTGTTAGTTGCAGCCAAATATTATAAAATGCACCATCTGTAATCCTGAGTGTGTCAATTTTACTAAGGGACTGTTCTTTACCTGTAAGGGGGAAGGGGTGGTGCAAAAAGGGGGAGGCATGTCATCTCGTTAACGATAATACTGGTAGAATATTTAATATCATATGAAAAATTTATATTGTGATACTCGCGATATTTCGGCTTGTTGTCATGTTGACGTCATACTGTTACCCACGGCAACAACAAGCATGGCTGAAAGTGAATTATTATCGACTTCGTGGTGGTTCCAAAAAGAGGAGCAGCTTCAGTAGTGTGGAATAAACTGTGGCGTCCTCAATGTTTTATGAACAGCCCAGGACTTCTCAGACTCTTTTAGTGACTTACTGCTCAGAGGGAACTCATTCAGCGGCTCCTCTGGCAGCAGCACAGTGTCTCTCCCTCTCCTCTCTCTGATTTTGTCATAAACCTTTGGTAATGTAAACCTACGTGATGCTCGCAGCTCGACAACAAACTCCATATATGTGAATGTGTGATAGTAGTGGTATCAAAACAGCCTGTCACAGGTTACAGCATGATGATTAGAGGAGAAATGGCAGAGCAAAAAGGTCCAGGTGGAAAAAAAACAACTCAGTCATTTAGGATTTTACTAAAAGAAGGAAATCAACTGTTGGTTTATTTTTTAAATGTGTAATTTGTGGTAGATTTTATTTAGTTGAAATATTAACACTGTAACAGAATCTGAATCTGAGTTACTGGTGTTGTTCACAAACTAAAGAAATGAGAGATCATTTTTGTTCAGTTCTTACTAAATATTTTGAAGGAAAACTGTAAAACTACATCACTCATTTTGTTGTAATTTTACGTCTTTAAATTAATAATATTTTTAACTATTAAATAACTAATTTTTCATATCGTCATAAATATCGTTATTACAAAAATACCATGAAATACTGTGATATTATTTTAGAGCCATATTGCCCACCCCTTGTCACACCACACCTACCCCCCTGTCTCTGATAAGTAAAGAACAGTCCCTTACATGAAGGTGTCTTCTTAATATCTAATTTAATCAATTTTGTTTCCACAGTCTACCTGCAGATGTGTTCCCTGCAGGTAGACTGGGTGAGAATCACTTTAACTACCAACAAAAATACTGACATAAACACACAACATGTCCTGAATCAAAGAAGCTTCAGTACCAGCGATGTGATCAACTACAGCATTAGTACAATAACACAGTACAGTCGCACAGACGAACACATGAGAGGGTTTTTGCTGCATGTTCTGTAAGAATGCTCCATAAGAGCGATCAGCGATCAATATAAAGAAATGAATTCAGCCCTGTGATGCTCATCTGCATCAGGCCTGTTTTCACTTTCACTGTGTTGCATCACGTCTCTGATTATTCATCAGTTTCTAACCTCTGAGTGACTCCACATGTTCTCCTCTCATTACTGACCAACCAGTTCATTTCACGGTTATATTGTATATATCAATAGCATGACGTCAAATGTCCATATTTAGTTGTCAGTGATGTCACCAAACTGATTAGTTAGTCTGACCATCAGTCAGTGATCAGCAGACTCATTTACTGTTGATTCACTAATTGATTAATGATGTAATGATCACTGCAGCTGAGGACCAGAGAGACTGGTTGACATGCAGACAGACAGATAGATACTCAGACAGACAGACAGACAGACAGACAGACGCTGTTGCATCAACAGTTGTCAGATATTAAAGCAGCCGTATAGAGTGAACCCTCAGCGGGCTCTGTCAGCTCCACTCACCGGGACTCGGCTCTCTCCGCTCGGCTGTGATCCGCTGCCTGTGACGGTGAGACTGGCCGACCGTCTGTCTGTCTGTCTGTCGGTCTGTGTGTCCGTGTGTCCTCCGTCTGCTCCAGACTGTGTGTGTGTCTGCACACTCATGAGAGTCAGCACAGAGGGAGGGGGGCGGGGGGGCTGTGTCATGCTCACCAGACAGCCAGACATAACAGGAAGTCAGGCGACTCCGACGCTTTATAAAAATAAGAGTAGCGTCAGAGGCAGAGGAACATCCGACTGTAGCCACATTCAGATTAATAACTGTAATCAGATCATGTTAATGTCCACTCACACACATTTTCTGTGGCGTTAAACATCGTGAAAAGCGTTAGAAAACTTAGGAGAAAAAACAATGGTGGAATGTAACGAAATACTTTCACTCAAATACTGAAATTACTTTCAGGTTGTACTTTAGTACAGTATTTCTATCTTCTGCTGCTTTATACTTCTAATCCACCACAACCCAGAGGGAAATATTGTACTTTTAACTGCACCACCCCTTTTTAAAGCTTTACTTACTTTACATATTCAGATTAATTATTAAGATAATCAACTAATAAATGATGATGTATTATCACAGATAAAACTACCCAGAAAGTACATAAATTAAGTAAAATTAGCTCCATTGTTACCATCTGCAACATTAAATTGATGAATACAATAATGCATCAATAATTATAATCCAATATTTTAGGGACTGTTCTTTACTTACCAGAGGAGAGGGGTGGCTGAGGCGTGACTTCGTTTTTGAATTTTTTTTTTTTTTAACCCTCATCGAAGCTACTAATTACTATTTTTCAACCTACGTAAATTAGTAATTAGATTTTTAAAACTTACACTTAGATGTTTGAAAGTTAAAAGTTGAAGACACAATCGTGGAGCTGAAAAAAGTCTCAGTTTTTCACTTTAGTCGTGCAGGCTGGTGAGTTCGTATAAACGGTTTAGTTTTGGCCAAACTTAAAATGAGACAAAGAAAAAAGTGATTTTGATGAAATGTCACTATTCAACACATTCTCACTCCGACCGCGCCACATATCAACATTTGGTCATGGACTTTCCACGTCCAGATACGACATGCAAGGTACCCTGGGTGCATGGGTTGTTGATGTTCTGGGACGCCGTGTCAAGTTCTGCCTGTTACATGCATTGTCTTCTTTCAAAATATACTTCTGTTTTCACAGGAAATTTACTGTTTACATACAGTCTCTATCAAAATAAATGCACTATGTCGGTACAACAACGCAAATTGAAGTTTTTTTTCCTCCAACAACAAAAACACGTGGTCAGGTTTAGGAAAAAAAAAAAGGCAGGGTTTGGCTTTATAATCTTACAGGATGTGAACACTGCTCTCCTGGGTGAAAATCCTGGGTGTTTGTTGGACCCATTCACCACAACTTCCACCCACCCTACTCTTACTTTCCCTGGCTTAACTTTTGTTCTTGTCTTAGCGTTTTCTCCTGACGCCACCAAGCGCCATTAAACTAAAACAGCCACCGGCTGCATATCATGCTGACGTTAAAGAGTGGCTTTTTCCATCAATGTCTGATGCCGTAAGTCACCGCCAATTGCCGGATTTCGACGACTTCAGAATGACACCGGATTGCACTATTTCAAGGTCAGATTTGGTTATGTTTTTTTTTCTGACAGAAGCAGGTGCAAGTTTGAAAATCTGATATAGGCCAAATCTGTTAATTTCTGTTTTATACAGTCTCTGGCTATAATAAATGGTGTGATTTTGGCAATTTTTAAAGAAAACATGCCTTTCAAACCATGTTTGTTTGTTTGTTTGTTTTTTTTTGAATCACAAAACGTTTATAAGGCATGTTGTCTTAAGAAGTCTACGGTAAAATTAATACAACATATAACCATTTAAATGTATATGCTCCTCCCCCAAACCAAAATAAAAACCTAAGTCCTGCCTCAGTGCTCCCCCTTTTTGCACCCCTCACCCCCTCATAAGTAATGAACACTCCCTAATATATATTACTCTGAAATGGGCAAATCTGCAAAAACAAGTCTGGTCCCTAAACGTTCACACCCAACCAATCAATAAACTTCAACATCTGGCAGCAGAATCACCCTCACTTAAAACTTTTTACACTCTATACATTAGTCACAAGCTAACCTCAACTTTTATTTTGAAGGTTGTGACAGGAAACACGTTTTCCGGTGATTTTTAACTTCTGTCACAAAGTTTGTTGGTGTGCGTGACTTCTGCTCTGCTCCGTGTGTGGTTGCCCCTGGTTACCAGGTGATTGGCAGGTCGATGGAAAGAAAGACTTTGGCGCCATCTTGTGGTGAAGAGAAAAAATATAAACTCAGAAAATATATAAACACTTGTGTATCAAAGATTATTTTGGCCCCAATGACGACATCATTACACATAATAATACTACTACTAATAATGATAACACGCAAGTACTTATACCATACAGTAGAAATACTCCATTACAAGTAGATGTCCTGCTTTACCTAAGTAAAAGTATGTAAGTACAATCAGGAAAATGTACTTAAATAAAACTACTTATTGCAGAAAACCTCAAAATAACCATAAACATATTAGTGAATTATCAACCACTCCACGGTGGCTCCAAAAAGAGGAGCAGCTTCAGTGGTGTGGAATAAGTATATATGCATATATAAATAAGAAAAGAGTAATGTAAAAGGAACAGGGAGATAAATAACTATTATTAATATTTTATGGAGAAGGGGCGGGGTTAAATAAGTTGTACTTCTTCCCACCCCTTTTCTGACATGTAAGTGAAATTATTGTGCTGTTTTCTTTTCTAAAATTCTCTTGATTGTCCATTTTTGTATTATTATTTCTGTTTTACTTATTCATATATACATTATATATCATTTGCATGTTCGGAATAAAAATCACTACTACTAGAATAAACTGTGGCGTCCTGAATGTTTTATGAACAGCCCCGGACTTCTCAGACTCTTTTAGTGACTTACTGCTCAGAGGGAACTCATTCAGCGGCTCCTCTGGCAGCAGCACAGCGTCTCTCCCTCTCCTCTCTCTGATTTTGTCATAAACCTTTGGTAATGTAAACCTACGTGACGCTCACAGCTCAACAAAAAACTCCATATAAGTGAATGTGTGATAGTAGTGGTATCATAACAGCCTGTCACAGGTTACAGCGTGATGATTAGAGGAGAAATGGCAGAGCATAAAGGTCCAGGTGGAAAACAACTCAATCATATAGGATTTTACTAAAAGAAGGAAATCACCTGTTGATTTATATATATAGATCCCAAGGGACATTTTTTTGTATTTGTGAGCTGTTTAAATGTGTAATTTGTTGTAGATTTTATTTAGTTGAACTATTAATATTGTAACAGAATCTGAATCTCACTCTGAGTTACTGTTGTTGTTCACAAACTAAAGAAATGAGAGATCATTTTAGCTTTTACAGAATATTTGAAGCAAACTGTAAAACTAGATCACTGATTTTGTTGCAATTCTTTTTTCTTAAATTAATATATTTTTTAAAATAATTTGTAATTTTATCGTAATAACTGGGCCACATTGCCCACCCCTATCTTTAAACACATTGTGCGTGATGTAGACCTCTGCCAAAGATAAACTGTTTGCACAAAGCAGATCCTATAAAAAACATTAAAATCTGCACTCCTGCACGCATGACCTTTGTGGAAATGCAAGACTTTTTGGATTTTGTTTTCAACTTTTAACTTCCATACATGAAAGTGTAAGTTTTTAAATATAATAATGTCTGTCATGCCAAGTTACTGCCTGCCACTGTTGTGTACAGTTTTTCACTTCCATACTGTTTTCTCGTTGCATTGGCTCCAGTACCTACATTTGATGGGAATATTACCAAAAACATTTAATAAAGTAAAAAAAATCCCCGGAGGCTCAAGGGAATAAAACTGTAGCTTCAGGAAATGGTCAACATTTAGTTAAAAACAAAAAGTCATACCCGAGCCCCTACTCTGATAAGTTAAGTACAGTCCCTTAGTTAAGACAGAAAGGCTGCATGAAGTTACTCAGTAAGTTAAAAATAAACTTGACCGTTAGCTAATGGTAGCCGGTGTTAGCTGTCTCTGATTTATCAGTTAATTTAGAAACATTTTATTTACTCTGAGTTTCAGTCTTAACTGTTGTTAAGCTACAACACCAGATGCTGCTAGGTTAGCTAGCTATAGCATAAGCACCGTCGGTATTAGCGCCCAAACTTTAAGTGAATGAACTTTACCCTGTGTGTGTAATTTTGTTGAGTTAATTCGGGAAGCGTGAGTTACACTTATAAAGCAACTAATTTTAGCTGGTCGCGAAAACGGCAGAAGATAAAACGCTTTGCGAAATTAGCGGACGGTACCCAACGTTTATGGCAACGGCAAGCTAGCCGATTAGCATTGCGCTCAGTCGAGGTCACCTGAGACTGCGGTGGTGAACAGGTGTGTCTCCGCCTCGTAGCAAAAGGTGAAAGGTAAACTCTTTACATTATTGCTCACATTTGTAACAACGTTCTCTATTAACTTAGTTTACTTTAACTAAAACCGACGCTACCTTCACAGCGACAAAGAACAGAAGCTAGTGCTAGCTTAAACTCACAACGTGCCGCCTTTGTATGGAGAGAATGGCGGCGAATCCCTTTTAAAAATTAACCAAATATTAATATTTCGGAGTTAGTCGGCAAAGTGAGAATACTTTATTTACCACAGTTTAATACTTGTGAATTGTTGTCGTATTGTCTCAAATTCGGCTGTCATTTGAACCACAAAGTTGCACTTATTGTTGACTAAAGTACGACTTTTAACGTGATTGCTGCAGCACGTTACAATGGAAAGTTTACGCTTGCTGTACATTTAAATAACTGCTACTGCTTGTGTTTCTGTGCCGAATTGAAAGGGAGTTTTTGTCATAAAGAGGATGCACGGATTTCGTCGTGTTTGCCCTCTCAGTAATGAAAAGGGCGTTGGTCTTTGTTAATTAGCTCGCAGGTGAACGAGATTTCGCCCCAGATGCGTTTTTTCAACCATCAGTTTTGTGATTGCAGCAGGATGAGTCAGGGGGACTGGATGCCGATGGATGCATCCAAACCACCGTCGT